GCAAGTATATTTGTTCTTGAGTCTATTTGTCCTTGAGTCTATTCGTTCCTGAGTCTATTCGTTCCTCGTCTTAGTTTCTACACGTATAAACGTCTACACGTATAAATGTCTATTTGCCTAAGTGACTATTTGTCTGAGTGCTTAAGTGTCTACTTGTCGAAGTGTATATTCGTTTAAGTCTTTACTAGTCTAAAGGTCTACTTCTCTTAGTGTCTTCTCATCTAAATGTCTACTTGTCTAAGTGCCTAAGTGTCTACTAGTCTGAGTGTCCACTCGTCTAAGTGTCTACTCTTCTAAATGTCTACTCGTCTACTTGTCTGAGTGTATACTCGTCGACTATAATTGTCGACTTTGCAATTTCTACCTGCCTATCTGTGCACTTGTTCTCCGGTCTACTTGTCTACCTGTGACAACAATTCGACCTGCTGACTTGTCTACTTTTTTCCTTTCTTTACCTTTCAATCTGTCTTCATGTCTTCCATTTCGAGAAATTAATAAACCAATTTGGGTGCAAGTCATAGGATACAAATATCAAAAATATATTGTTAAAATTTTTTAAATTTTTGTAGTATTATTATTGCTGTTCGAGAGAAATACTCGTGATTGCCTACTTTACTCGAAAGGAGATACTGAACTGACAATAAAATAATTCTTAACTTGGTTTCAGTTCGACAGATTTTAGTAAGGAAATTTTATTATATAGTCTTTTATACTGTAATTTTCAGTGAATATTTAGGTTTTATATAATATATATTTCTGTCTTTCTTTTAGAATAAAAATAAACACCACGCATTAATCATATCAGATTACTTTTTTAGGGTATGGAGTCAGAGCATATGTTAAAACAAAGAAAACTATTATTTATCCAGCCGTTTCGAAACCATAAGGTTGAGCATTTTTTGATCAGAAATCGAAATATAAGTTGATATTGTATAAAATAATGAACATAGAATAAACATAACAAAAACATATTAAATAATATAACGATAGAATAGCAGTAGGTAGAATTAAAGACTGGCAAAATTTTCTTTTTCACATTCAACTTTCAGTGCTATAACAATTACATTTGCATTAATAATAAAATAATAAAAAAAACATAACTGTAAAATTAAGTAATCGTACGATTAGTATAGAAAATAATAAGTCATGAGTGGCTTGAATAATATTTCAAAGTAAAACTTATTTAAATCTTGTAAGAATTTAATTTTTTCGCTAATGAGATTTTGCAAAGCTGCGGCATATGAGAAGATAAATCAGCGAACAAGAATGTAATTAGGTTTCTGCATGCTGAATAAAAAAGAGCGATATATCATCTTGGACTATTTTCATTTATAATAAAAATTAATAAAAATGGTACTCGTATTTATATTAAAAATGAATATAAAACGTTATATTTGCAAGCAACAGCTGCAGTTTCATTTTGATGTTTCTGTAGAAACTTTGCAAATATGCTGTATCTTATTGTGATGTCTTGAGGCAATGTTGCTATTTAAACTTAATATATTTTTAAATTCAACGGAATTAAAAACAAAAATTTTAAATTTGATGTTGCAGATGCTGTATAAATTTCTAAAAAAAAAATGTAGAAAAAGGAGTCAATAATCCATGACATTCAGACTCTTTTGAATGAATCCTAAAAAAATTAGAAATCTTTTTAAATCGTTAAAAATGCTATAAAGATTTTTACGTGGATTTAACTGATCACGTTTGTATTAAATTGAACATTTATATTTTCCAAATTAAATTAACATTATTTTAATAATGAAGTATGTTTAATAAAACTTGAAATTAAATGTAAAGGCACATACCTGTAAAAACAAAAACAATGAACTTTTTTTTTACATTATTGGTATGCTGCAAAAATATAAATTAGCTGCATTATGGAAATATTATTGAAATTTTGAAATATCATATATATATATATATATATATATATATATATATATATATATATATATATTGAACTTTCGAATTATAAAAACTTTCTTAATTCTGTTTATTTCGAATGTAAAAAGTACAATATTATATTTTGACAAATATGTCAGTGTTTGTAATGTATTAGCTAAAACTTTCCTTATTTCTTTGTGATTAAAAGTAGATGAATGATTTTTACATTGACTTAAAGAACACTTCATGATTTTCTATAAATATATTGCGTAAACTTAAAAGTTCTAAACTCATTCTCCAAAAGCAGTATTTCTTTGGCCAATCCCTTAAAGTCAAATAAAATAAATATGAAAACCCAATTTTTACTTTAAATGACATCAAACAGAAGATTTCATCTAGCATGATTAAAACATCAAACGATGAAATCTTTTCGTCGTTTCCGAGATATAATGAATTCTGCTATTTCTATGATATTTGAATATTCTGTTTTCTTTCGTTGGTTTTACATTTTAATAAATGTACAGTCTGAATATGAAATATATTATAGAAATATAATGTATGGTACATGAAAGTAATCTGTTCCTGTATAATGTTTATTTTTTATCAATATTAAATTAGTCCGGATAAAGTAATTTCTTAAGGTACTTTCTGAGGTACTTGAAATTCTCACTTTTCAATGCCCTTTTAGATGCTTGTCTAATATAAATGTTTGCCGGCGGCATAAATCTCATAAATTTAGTATTTAATTTGTTGCTTAAAATGTTTGTTAATATTTATTTTGTAATCCAAAAATTCCAGATTTTGCTTAAAAGTGCCATATACAATGCGGTAAATACTACTAGTTAAATTCAACCATATATAAACTAATTGCATGATATTTTATTTCTATATGTTAATAATATAATAGATGTCGTAAATTTGATTTTATTATCAGGTAAATACAAATTATACAATTATAAAAGGTATTTTAAATTATACAAATATTCTAGCACTAAAAGTTTCTAACTGTAAAAATATTAAAAAATATGTGATTCAACATGCCATACTCTTAACTTAGAGATTAATTGAAAAATATTATATTTCACAAAATATTATTTAAGAAAGTACGATCTTAATTTCACATGTATTTCGGGTAATATTTAAAATGGTTGGTTGAAGCAAAGTGATTAATATGAATTCAAAGTAATGTAGAAGAAACTTCTATACTAAATATCTCTAAACAAATAAATATTTATATCATTTTACATAAATCATGTCTTAAGATGAAATATTTTATTAGTTATTAATATTTTTATATAGGAAATGATTTTTTTCTAAACTCTGCTAATCTGGTATCATTGTTATTGTGCCATATAAAAATTGGTATTTTTAATACAACAAAAATTCGTGAGTTGCTTATGCCGAGTATAATAAAGTATAAAAAAGTATAAAAATAGAGAAAAGATTTCTACATTACATTTTTATGAAGATTTGATCAATGTTTGCTACGAATTTTCTTATTTCTATATTATTGGTAATGGGTAAAAGATAATTTCATCGACTTGCAGAAAGTTACAATATATACAATATTCGAATTAACACATCATACATTTGGCATCTATTGTCGAAGTCCACAAGATTTATCATCTAATGAAGAACATTTGTTATTCAAATAATAATTCGAGACTAGAAAGTGTTTTCAATTCATTAATACGAAATTTACATATTTTCAAATCAAAGCAAACTTCGAATTATATATCGCAAGCGTGTTTTGACCTAACCATCAATTTTATCACATATGAATTATACTCTACAAATTTGGCAACTATGCTCAAAATCCAGATTGTGTTGAATATCAAAGACTCTAATAATGTATTTATCAAACATCGAATTTATGTAAAAAATATTTACTAGCAAAAAAATTAAAGAGATGTTTATGCCAAGTATGGAAAGTATGGAAATTACATGAAAAACAATTTCATTGAACTTATTTTGAAGATTTGTCACTGTCAATTTGTTAGGTATAAAATTCCTTATTTCTCTGTGCTACAAAATCCCAATATGGCTGGGAAATTCTCGGAATTACACCTTGTGTCCCGGGGTTTTTAGAAAGTAATATTTGTCCCGGATTTAAAGCTTTTGTCCCGAATTGTCTCGCGATTTCAAAATGTTATATATTACATTGAATCTTTGCAATAACTTGAAAATAAAATTACAACATCAAATAGTACCGTAACGCCGGACGGCACCTAGCGCCGAACACTCTATTTAACACGTGTTATTTAAGCGAGTATAAATCTTGTCATTTCAAAATACAAGTGAAAGGGGCGCGGGGGGCTCACATGTACAGGAACACGCATGTAGTCTCGCCTGTGACGCACACGGCCACGTGAGAGCAACAGTTTACTGTTTTAGGCGCAAAATCACGGCGTCACCTAAATAGCAATTGAAGTAATTCTATTATATTTATGCTTTTGCATTTGAGTGGCATTCAAAGATAAAAGTAGTACTTGATTGTTATTCGTAAAATGGTAGAATAATACTAGATATTTTAAACAATTTTAGTGGGTACCACCAAATAAAGTTAGTTTTTAGTAACAATAATTTAATTATGAAAAAAATTATACGAGGTTTAAAAGCAAAAAAATTAAAAGATGTAATAGAACATATAACAAAATAATAAATAGCTACTAAAATTGATTTAAAAAAACTTATTTTCATTGTATTTTTAAACAACATTTGTTTTTTATTATATTTAAGATATTCAGCATAAACACTCCCGCTCGGTTCCGGATTAGCAAAACTAAAAGTAGAAGTCCCGGTTTTGACTTGAAAAAATATGGTCGCCTTAATAGAAAGCAATTGAATAAGCTTATATCGTTATCGCCATTTTGACCAAATAATCAATTTTGTTGCACATACCATTATCAACACACTATACATTAGACACCTATGGATAAAATCCTAGACGCTGTATTCTTTCTATTTCACACTGTGCTCCGTCCATTCCGTAGTTTCTCTATTATCATTAAGAGCATAGAAATCAGAATTTCTCCTTAGCATTCGAAACAAAAGCGAAAAAACACAAAAGCACAAAACCACAAAAGCTATCATAATATATGGCATTACGATACCTTCGAGAGCGTCGTGGGATGGGGGTAGAGATTGACCAGGCAGCTCTCCCGTCTCAGTCGGTAATCCCAGCGCGTCTCCAGATGAGGCACCTCCATGGTGTCGCAAATGCTCTGAACGTGAGAGGCCGTGTGCGACGACTGCGGCCCGAATATGGCTGCGACCCCGGTGCGCAATAAATGGCACACTGAAATGAGACATTAAGGGATGAAGATATTTATCGACATTGTCGAAATTACAATATACATTATATTTTAATGAGGTTTTAATGATTTACTGATCGGGTTGTGGTGGTATCACAAATAAATTTTATCAACGGCATTATGCACCTGTATAATATTATGCATTGACTCTATATTAAGCGCAAAGTTAATTTATATTTTAATTTGAAGGCAAAACAGTTCTGATATATTTGTAAAACTTTAGTATATTTGTATTAATAATAAATATGATCATAATCAAGTTTTCAAATATATAATAGTATTGATTTAAACAATTTCATTTACACACTCATAAAAAGTTTAATTATAAATAAATAAAACTTTGAAAGAGAAAGAGAATTAAAAATTCAATACAAAAAAATGATTTCACAAATATTTTTTGTAAACTTTAACATTTTTTATTTTGCTATATAATGATATAATACTATTTAGATTCGTTTCGTAGAACGTTTTGTTGGACATTGAGACATATTCTTGATGTTAATTTGCAGCCAATCGTCGAATGAAAAGAATAAAAAATAATGAATTATTTATTTACACGGCATGTGTGTCATCATTTAGCAATTTTTTATCACTTATATACCACATTTTTGGCAGCTACACTACATATCTCTTTGTTTTAAAACAAAATTTTTTACTTCATTTTTTGTTTTTATTTTTCAATTAATGTTAGTTTATTTTTTGTCAGTGTTTTTCCTGATATGATACTGTGCAGATATTAACAAAATTGCTGAATGTTGACACACATACCGTCTCGAAACAAATAAATAAATAGTTAATTATTTATTCTTCTTTTAATTCGACGATTGGCTGCAAATTAACATCAAGAATAATAGTATATTGTATTCATATGCTTTGTTTAAATGATAATGTTGTGATGAGTTATATATTTCGGACAATAAAAGTCATTATAAACCATTTCAGTGTTTATACCTATTGTTTTTTAACATATGTATGGTACACCCTCAGGACGGTTGTGACACTCGCCCTCTTTTTGTATGATTCGATTTTATGACAAATTCATCGCATTTAAAGATAGTATTTTAGTATTTCGAAGTTCTTTTCTCTCAGCTATCTGGTTAATTACCAAAATTATTGCTGGTCAACAAAAAGTGGCACAAACGTACCCAGCCTCCCTTACTAGAATGTATCTTTCTTCTCTACACTCAAAATAATTAAATACAAACATGGTTAATAAGAATCTCCTAATTTAAGAACCTGTTTTCTGTTATATAAATGATAATTGCAAAAATAAAAGTGATGACTTAAATAACGCATTGACCAATTCGATGTTTTTTAATGAAAAATTTTGTTTATTAAAATTTAGATTCGTTGTCATGAAGAAAGACGATTAAAAATAGATAATATAAATACTTATCTTCCTTTTTTAAGACAATTTTCAAATGAAAGAAAATGTTTTCTGTGATATTAGTATTTCAAACTCTATAATTTAAAATGAAATTTTTTTAAACAAGCATGCCGAAAATTAATCTTACAATTAGATGTTTATGATACTATTGTTTAAAATCATTTTAGGTAATGTTGCATATGATCACAGACCTAGTTTGATTCTTTTTAATAGATAAAACACAATAATTTTGAGAAAACGTACAATAATTACACACAATGAATAAAAAACTTGAGTAACAATGTTATTTGCAAATAAGATTTGGTTTCAAAATATTCCAAATTAAAACTAACTTCAAATATTCGATTCTTTTTCACAAATATTAGCGTTAAACAATTTTTTTTATTACTTATGTGAGGATATTGTATTTTTTTTTTCAAATATTTTGTAAGTTCAACTGGAAAAAGATCAATCTAATTTTCGACACGTATGGAAGACTCATTAATTATTGAACATTAGCGACCCGTTTAATAATTTTTTATAAGTATAAATAAAACTACAAAAAATTACATACTACAATTAAATAATATTCAACAATATTCATCTAAAATACCAAAATTATTGTTAAATAAATTTAATTGAGCATAATCTGTCAAAACCATTTGACATTTGACGTATGAGACGCCGTGGCTTCATTTTAAAATACGCATAAGAAAAAAATTAAATAAAAAATGTGAACTTTCTGGGTGGTTTTGACATAATATCTCGGGATTACCACAAATATTTCAAGTCTAAAACTGGCCAAATCCGTTGACCCGTTTTTGAGCCTTAGCATACCTAACACCATATTGAGCTCCATTTTTATGTATAAGATAACTTAGTTTTATTTATCAATAACTGGATGTTTGTTGAACGCTTTGTAGTGAACAATTATGTAATAAAAGAAAATGTTTGTATTATTTTTTTAATTATGTAATATATTTTTATATATAAAGTTACTTTACTGAACTTGTTATACATATGAATGCATATATAAAGTTTGCTAAGGTAACAAGAATGAAATAAATCATAATGATATTTTCAAAACTTTATTTGATATATTATTGATATATTATGAAAAATCTGAGTCAAATGGCAAGTAAAATATTTAGTATTGTATAATATATCTAGTTAGAATAATAATTCCCAAATAGCAAATCAAATTTAAAATTTTTAATAAAGAATAAAAAATTATTTCAGAGCACTACAAAACAAATCCTCATCATTTTAGGTAGTTACAATTTAAGTAATATGTTCTGTAAGCATATGATGAATACTACTATTTGGTTTAATAAAATGTTACATATAAATCGAATTTCTTCGCAATAGTTTGAGCACCTCTACATTTTCAAGATCTGAACCAAAAAGCGGCCCAATGGTTGTAAAGTTAATCGAAATCGTTTTTGCGGTCGATGGAAAAACGCAGGATTGCGAACGGGTGTATTTTGAGATCTCGGCATATACATATGGGAATTTTATCTTCGCCGATAAGAATCCTATTACTTTTACAACATAAGGCAATTTAAATTCCTGCTTAATTCTAAAAAAACGAATAAAATACTCTCTTGAACTGAAATAAACAAACCAGGAATTATATATATCATTTGCAGTTTTTATAATATAAATTCAGTTAACCTTATAATTCGCAATCACATTATCATATAAATTTTATATTCAATTGAGTTTGCAAATTAATTATTAATTGAATAATTATAATAATTAAAAATAAAATCATTTTATAATAATCAGTGCTTTATTATAATTGAGGGTTTTCCAATTCAAAATACTCAAGTATCGTTTATAGAATTCAGTGGTTTAATACAAATTATAATTGAATTTGTAAAATAATTTTCAGTACAGGATAATTAAATATTTTAAATATTTGAAATCGAGGTAGCTGTTTTCGAACAAAAAGTCGACAATAGGTCAAATTTTTTGTCACATATCCATACATAAACATTTTTTTAAATTTTGTATCAAATAATCATAGATAAACAAGCATACATGCAAATAATTCAGACATTCGACATGAAATTTCGAAAGAACATAAATTTAGTAAATCCGTTTTTATGGTGACAGCACACACTTCACATTCCAAGAGTTAAAAAAAACTAGTAGGGAATAGAATATTTTTTGAATATTGTAAATCGGTTGATCCGTGCGCCCGAAATCGTTGACAAAAAGTTGTATTCACACAAAACACATACACACATCAATTTTTTCTGAGGTATGCCAAAATGTTCAGAAACCTTGAAACGTGTAGATATGCAAAAAACATATTTTCGATTTTTGGACGATTGCTATGAGTTACCCTATAAAAAGTTAATAAGTATTACTTCAAAGAAATTGAATTATAAATTAGAAGATTAAAATTCAAATATTTCTCATTGAAATATATTGAACTGTTCTGAATATAGCACATGAAATATTTTTTTAGAAACCCTCAAACCCTTTACTCGTAACAATATATACATACGTTGAACATATTTTACAAAATTTGAAATTTATTGCTAGACATTAAAGAAATTCATTCATATGATACAATTATTTTAATAATTAACTCAACAAATTATTTTCTATTTGTAAGCAAATAGAAGAACAATTCTTACAACTAGCCAAACTATTTAATTGTAATTAAATATTTGCGTAGTGTGAATTATGAGAATCAAAAATTGAAATTTCACGTTTACGTATTATCTTCACGTTTCAAAGTTTTCTGTACATTTTGGCATACCTCAGAAAAAATAGATGTAAGTGTGTATGTGTGAAGAGAATTTTTCGTCGATGATTTCGGCCGTATGGACGAACCGATTTGAGAAATGTGCTGATAAGTTTTTAACAAAGGCAAGTCTAGCCGTTGCGGAAATACGGAGCAAAGAATGCGAATGAGTGAACTCAATTCTGGCTAAAGTTCTGAAGCTCTTACTTAACTCTGAATATACTTTAAATAAATAAATTTAACTTTGTCATTCAGTTTACTTAATATTCATAAATATTATACAATGTTACAGTATTTATAATAGTTTATTTAATATTGCTCGATCATTTTCTTTACGGTATAAGAAGTACCAGCAATTTTCCTTAAGGCACAATGCTATCCACCACTAGTTTTTATATCATAATATATATTGATATATTCATACTGTGATACTGATATATAAAAAGCTCAGCAAATAAAATAATATTTTTACAAAATAATAAAACTCGTTTATAGATTGTTTCAAAAATTATTAAATTTGTTTCTAGATAGTGAGTAAATATGATCAATATTTACAATAAACAAAGATAAATTTGAACCGAGTATTATGATACAGCGTTTTGTTTAAATAAATCCTTATCAAAATAAAAACTGTAAATATAAAAAAAAACAAATACAGTTCTGACACATTTTTATGAGTTATTATCACGTTCGAAACAGAGCATGTGTTGTAAACGACGATCTATGTTTCTATCAATATGACAAGCCTCCGATAAATTTCAATCAAGTACCTACCAAGAACATGTAACAGTGTTGTGATTAATAAATCATTCAGGAATAATGTTTATGTGAATGACAGAGCCGTGTTGCAGATGATTGTG